GGGATGAGTGTGTTGGAGACAGTGAGATTGGCACAGGACAGAGCAGAGTTTAGAGTTGTTGTACATAGGGTCGCTATGAGTCGCAAGCGACTTGACGGCACATAACAACAACAACAGACATGTTGGGGTGGGGGTGACCACAGATTGAAGATTTAGGAAAGGAGACCAATTCATGACCTTCTGGTTAGCAGCCAAGTGTCTAACCACTGGGCCATCAGGGAGTGTTCCTTTGGTTTCTAATGGCATGAAACAATTATGAAAGCAGAGCCGACTGTCCCATTTGTGGGGGAGAGTGATGCCTGGAGAGCACTGACAATCCCAAGAGCAATGGGGGTCAGAGTGTGCGAACCCCGCAGACGAAATGAACCCACCTGGAGCAGTGCAGGAAGTCTGCTGCTGAGTTGCGTATGACTCATATAGATCCTATAAACAACAGATCTGAGCCCTGTCCTGTCCTGTACCATCCTCATCATCCCTGACACACTGAGCCCACTGCTGCTGTCACTGTGTCAGTCTATCTTGTTGAAGAGCTTCCTCTCTTTTATTGCTTCTCCACCTTTCCAAGAATGATGTCCCTTTCTCAAAGAACAGTTCCTTCTAATGACATGTCCTGCAAGTGGGGAATAAGATCAGGGCGAGGGTGGAATGACGACATCTTTTTGTGTGTGTACCGTCAAATTGTACCCGACTGGTACAGGAGGAGATTGCCCCTCCTTCTGCAGCAGAGCATCTGGTGGATTCAAATCGCATGCTTCTGGGATTGCAGTGCAGCTTCTTGCCATAGAGCTCCCTAGGATGACCACATCTTAGTCTGCTCGTTTGTTAGCATTTCCAATCCCAAAGTGCCCCTTGAAGAGTAGAACTCAGGTCCGAAGTCCATTTTTATTACTAAAACAGCACACAATTTGGACTTTAAAAATAGTTTCCTTTAAATTAAAAAATTCCTATTTTCTTACAATTTATTATCAAGCTTCAAACTTGGACTTTGAACAACTGTTGTAATCCTTTAACTACTTCCTAAAGGAGGCAGGGAGGTAGATGAGAATGAAAGGTTCCTCCCAGTGAATGAAACCCTTCCACCATACCTGGGATAGAGGCCAACACCAACTTCCTGCATCTCGGCGTCACAGATGGTGAAGGAGTTACAGATCACCTGCAAAAACAAGGCAGAGTCCACATCAGGAAGACCAGAAGCTGCACAAGCATCCTCTCAGCAAGAGAGCACGTTTTCAGAATCAAATGTAGGCGCCTTGGAGCGGTTTCTTTGGAAAGACCTACATCAAATACTGATGCTTTTTCCTTTAAAAACAAAACAAGACAAAACAACAAATAAAACCCAAACCCCAGCCTATCTGTGGCACATTCTCCCCAAGGCAATAAAGTGCAGAAATACCAACATCTTGTAAAAACACACAGGATTAAGCCAGCACTGAGCCCATTAAATTTGGTCTAACACTTGCCTCCCCCTCCAAGTTGCATGAAATGTTCACAACTCAGAATACAAGTAAGTGATTTGTTAAGAACTAGACTCCTATGTATCAGATTTTTTCACTCAAACAAATAGCCCACAGTTTTCAGGCGCTGCTGTGTATTGAGGAGTAGCAGTGGCCTGTCTTACTGTCATCAGGAGGGAAGGCCAAGTGCACGGGTCTGTGACACACATTGATGACAGATCACAGAGAACCCACAAGTGCGTTCAGCCCACCTCGGGGCTTGCTAGGCGTGGGAACCACACACACAGTGTGTCTTTGCTCCTCTCACTGTGCTCGAGGGCCACAATCCTCATTTGTGGGTGAGGGCATGAAGATACTAAGAACACAAGACCTGGAATCAGAAAACCATGGTCCTGGTCACGTTTAAAAGGTCCCTTCACACCCTTCACAGGCTTCATGCTCTTGGAGGGAGACTGAAAAGGAGCTCTGGTGGTTCAGTTCTAAGGAGTTGTGCTGCCAACCTAGCGGCACACGGCTCAAATCCACCAGCTGCTTCCTAGGAAAAACATGGGCAATCAATTTCCATGTGCTTTACAGCTTCCAAAAACCCACTGGAGGGTCAACGACAAGTTGGTTCCAAACTGATGGCACATAAAAACAACAAGAGATGATGATGGGAAAGCTTATTAACAGATAAAATGTCAGATGGGGATAAATAAGGAGAAAAAGCAACAGGAAAGCACAGAGTATGCAGGAGGACGTGATGGTCAGGAAAGTTCTGTAGGATACAGTGACATATATGGAAAGACCAGGAAGAAATGAGCACATGCACCAACAGGCAATAAGAGATGTAAGGAGAAAGAGCAAGTGCAAAGGGCCTGCGGTGGAAAAGTGTGTGGTGTGAGCAAAGCTGGTCATGGGAAGAGAAGAAAGGTGGGGTGCAAAGTCAGAGAGGTGCCCCCATCACTGGGGGCCTCACAGTCATGCATATTAAGGACTTTGGAGTTTATTTGGAATGAGGCAGAAAGCCACTGGGGCATTCCGTGGTGAAGAGTGAACGGATCTGACATCTGTCTGGATATTATCACTCTGGGTGCAGAGGTCAAAGATGGAAGAAGGGAAATCAGGAGCTATAACAGCAGCAGTTCAGGGGTGTGGCAGTGGTGATCCGGTTGCTGGGAATGTAGAAGTGGGGCTGGTAAGGCTACAGGGCTTACTGTTGCATTACCCATGGCGACTGAGGAATCAAGAAGAATGCTAGAGTTCTGGGCAGGGATGGTTTGTTTGCAAGGTCTGTCAGCCCAGCAGCCTTGTTTTTGTTGTTTGACATTCAAGTCAAGACTAAGAGTGGACAACTGGGGTTCAGGGGCATAGTCAGGGCTACAGAGACAAATTTAGGGCAAAAGAGGTCAAAGATCATCTGAAAGAAAGCAGAAGAGGTGACTACAGGTTGAGATGAATTATTGTTATTGTGTGTTGTGGAGTTGGAAACTGACTCACAGCTGACCCTCCAGGGGGTTGAGTGCACATGGATGCTGTTCATATGACAGACTTTCTGTAAAAGAAAAAGCAGTGACAACAAATTTCTCTAAATCAGATTTCTATGAAAGAACATAAAGTATGAAAAAGCAGTCAGTCCTCTGGGAGCCCCTCCACTGTTCCAAAAAGCTTTCACATAAAACCGAGTGCAACTTATCATGATTTGGCATTTTTTCCTCTAAAAGTCTGATAAAACTGCAATTTCAAATCAGGAAATAAATTGGTGCACATACACATAGTTTAAACACATACTGGTAAATGGCTGAAAAGGCATCTGCTTTGTATTAAGCTGCAACAGTATACTGTCTCCATCTGCTTGTGTGTATAAAACGGAAGGTAACAGCACAAAAGATCTAGTGTTTTCTTTGTAAAACATTGCATGTTTTAAAATGAGAATGAATTTGTGGGGGATAGACAAAAATTTAACACATATTAAAGTATTTTCTAGATTAACTTGCTTGGAAAGGCAGAGGAGAGGTAGACCCTCGACCGGGTGGATTGACACAGTGACTGCTGCCATGGGTTCTTGTGTGTCAGGAAGTGTGAGGATGGCACAGGATAGATCTAGGATCAGATCAGTTGTTCATAGGGTCACTGTGAGTCATACTTGACTCAACGGCACCTAACAACAACAACCACTGCCACCACCAACCAACTTAAACAGCCTAAAATAGTTACTTTTGAATCAAACAAAAAGGAAAATTTTTTTAAAAAAATTAAAAGCTTTTTCAAAGTAGTTTTTTCCTTTGGAATTTTTAAAAAGAAGAAATAATAAGAGAAATACCAACTTATCCATCTCCTCTTCTAGGAAACATTTTCTGATCCCAATTTCAGTTGACTTTTATTTCTCTCTTTTGTTGCTGTCAGGTACCCTCAAGTTGACAGACTCAAACAACAGAACAAAACTGTGAGGAAATCAGGAGATGCACTGCATGGACCAATTGCCTGTCAGGGACCTCCCCAAAATGCTGAAGAGCAAACGGTCAGCATCAAGACAAGGGTGCACCTGATTCAGGCCATGGCCTTCTCAACTGGCTGCTGTATATCAGAGAATAAGGAATGAATCAGGACAATGGCTAAGGATGACAGAAGAAGAACAGAAGCGTTTGAGCTGTGGTGCTGGAGAAGAGTCTTGAACACACCATATACTAAGAGAATAGATAGGTCTTGGAGAAGGTGCAGCCAGAGTGCTCCTTGGAGGCAAGAATGGCGAAGCTTCATCTTTCATACTCTGGACATGTAGCTAGGCAGGGTTATTCCTTGGTAAAGGACATCATACTTGGAAGGATGGAAGGTCAGTGAAGGAGAGGAAGACCACCAACAAGAGAGACTGACATGGTGCCTTCAGGAGTGGACTCTAGTGTGCCAGAGAAATGAGGATGGCACTGAATAGGGCAGGATTCAAGTCGGCGGTTCACAGGGTCACTATGAGTCATACTCGACTCAATGGCACCTAACAACAAGGACAATAATCCTGCCCCATCTTTATACTCTCTGCCGTGCTTCAAGGCCACTGCTGCGGTCACTGTGTCAGTCTATCTCCTCGAGGGTCTTCCTCTAATGCTCCACCTTCCCCAACATGACGTCCTTCCTCAGGGCCTGTCCTGACAATATGCTCAGACCACCCTCTCTTCGAAGGAGCAGTCTGGCTGCACTTCTTTCGAGAACAGTTGGTCTGACCTTTTGGTATTCCATGGTATGGTCATTCTTTATCAGCACTACAATTCAAAGACATCCATTTTCCTTCTATTTTATGAATGAAAATTCCACCCTTCTCTTATGAGTGGAAATGTCACATTTTACCCTCAACTTTTCACAATTAATTTTGAAAAACCCAGCAGATAATTTATGATACTTAGGATGTAAGAGATATTCACTAATATGCTGTTACCTTGTAATTGCTAAGTTGAAAAGAGTCATAAAAAAATTACAAATCATCAGAACAGAGAACTTTTATACCTTAATGACACATTTCTGCTTCTGAGACCTCCTGTCCCTTAGCCCTGATTCACTGACTTGTGAACAGAGTTTGTCCTGGGCACAAGTGTTGTCAGGTAGCTTCAACACTATTTCAAATAATGTTTTCAACTAAAAGCACGATATTAAAAGCTCATTTAAATGGAACTTCGTTTTTGAACACAGATATAAAAAGGTTTCCTCAAAGAGTATCCACACGGTTTGAAAAAAGTTCATTAATTAGAGGAAATGAAGTGAACCTTTATTTTTTTAACATCAAGAACGTTTTTTTCATTGTTGCATGTTTTCTTCCTCCTCCTCCCTGCAATGCACCCCTTCTTCCTGATTGTTGTCATACATATATAATGTCTAATCATATATTCTTTCAGACAATTCTTCCCCTCATCGGCTCTAATGCAATGCTCACTTTCTATCCACTCATCCCATTCTTTCCTCAAGCAACCCATGTCTGCTCTATATTATAACAGGGGTGTCATGCAGTATTTGTCTTTTTGTGACTGAGATAGTTCACTCAACATAATGTCCTCCAGGCTCCTTCATATTGTATAATGAGTTCATTGTTTTTCAATGCTGCATAATATTCCATTGTGTGAATATTCCATAGGTGTTTTATGTTTTTTCCATCAATTTTAATGAAAGTTTACAGAGACTTAGGGTTTCCAGTCATTCATTGTTGCACTTTTCTCCCTACCCACTCATCCCCCCCCCATTCACTCTTCCTGTTGAAAAGAAAAAGAACTCTTTCATTGTTATGCAATCCCTCCCCCCAAGTTCACTCCACTATGCAGCCTTCACTCTGGACTTCTGTAATGACAAGAATATCCATTCATATGTCCCTTCTAAACAGTTCTCTCTCTCCCTCATCTGTTTCAATGCAATATAAATTATTCCTCCCCTCCTTTTCTGTCTTCCCTCAACCCTGATGTCAGTCCCGTTTTACAACAGGGGCCCTATGCAATATTTGTCCTTTTGTGACTGAAATATTTCACTCAGCATAATGTCTTCCACAGTCATCGATTTTGCATAATATTTCATGAGTTCCTCGCTTTTAAAGGCTGCAGAGTATTCCATTGTGTAAATATACCACAGCTTCTCTATCCATTCATTTGTTGATGAGCACTTGAGTTGTTTCCAGCTCTTTGCTATTACGACCAAAGCCTCAATAAACATGGTGTGCATACATCTGCTTGTGTGGCAGTTATGG